CTGACTCGAATATCATAAATGGGACAGAAGTTTTGATGTTGAGGAAACCAAATACACAAATAATCCTCATCAAAGACCCCGCACAGTCAATGGAAGGAAAATTTAAATGGGTTTTGGAAATTACACCCTTCTAAAGTTTCCTTCCTTCAGTTAACCGATGTCCCACATTCTCCTTTCAAAATAAACTTGTACAACCCTGTTGCACAGTAGAAATGAAAGTTACTGTTCCATAAATTAAAAGAACTTTTCTACAAAACAGATCCTGTCCAGCCAGTTAAAAACCAACGGAAATTCTCCAATTTCAACGCCCTCTTACACCACTGTTCTATTCTGTTGCATCAAACAAGTTGGCGTATTTGAGATCTTTGTTTCATTCATTTGAATCACATTGTTATACAATTTAAAATTTCTTAAAAGTTAAAGGCTGGTACATATACATCAAATACTTATCCACTACATATACATGTACTGTACCATACAGTACATGTACATTGCCGTAATGTATAACAATGCTTGCATGATGCCAGGCTTGCGCTCTATGGATGGGAGAAGTGCCAACACGAGGTTCACCAAAAGATGAAGTTTTTTAGAGAATCCCTTCGAGCTCATATTAACCACTTGCTGTCGGGTGGTTTGAAAAATGCAGTGCACATCATCGGAACATTTTCAAGATTTTAAGTTTTCAAAAATCTTCAAAAGGTCATCATTTCAATTAATGGATGTTTACACCCACACAAATGACTGTCTGGTGGCTACTCTAATCTGACAAGGAAGATTGTCTCCACTATTGAGAGTAAAAAATGTTGGTAATGTCCAGCAGCTTGGTCTTTTGTACTGAGTACAGTCTTTTGTTACAAGGCCCAGTTCCTTTTGTCCGATTTTGGACAAGTGGTTAACCATGTTTGGCTGTACATGTATACATGTGATGGCAGGGTACATGTGATGTACATGTACACGAGCATGTGTTCCTGCAGTGTCAGATTCTGCATATCCCAGTGAGAGATTTGGAAGGATTTTGGCCTCATTAGCCTTCTGGTTTCAAAGTGTTCACCATTGAAGTTAATGCATGCTGTGAGCCTAACACTTCTTGGTATACTACATGTACATGCAGGCCTGACTTCATCAAGGTGTGGTATTAAAGTGCCAGTAACAAGCCAATCAGAAAATTTAAGGTACATGTACATGTACTCCAAGGCCAAGACTAAAAGTTAAAGAAGAGGAAGAAAGAAGAAATTGTGGCATGAAAATCCTGAGGAGAAAACGAAGGAAAAGGGAAATTTACATTGTAAAACATTGACCGGTAATTTTTTGGCAATTTCATGGCAGTGTGCACCTTCAACATTGGAATTGTACTGTACATGTAGTGTACATAAAATTGTCTGTGATTACCTATATCATCTCGGTAATGGTTGCTTGAATTCCCTATTATACTCTTTATATCTGTAAAAGCTGAGCACATCAGATGTTTTACAGTATTTGACTCAGTGAAACAGCTATTATTCTATTTGAATCGTGAGATCGAGGCCTACAGTAGGTGCACCGGTATGTATCAGGGTCAGTATTTTACATCCCAGTGAGTTTTGGGCACATTAACATTACACGTACCCTGTACTAGTAGTTTACTGATTCTTTCCAGTTAGTGTTCTTAGTAACTATAACCTGTTAATTTACTTTCATTAATTGTCCCAGAATCGTGTCCACGTATATATGTGCCATGCATGCATGACTATCAACATGTCCATGCAGTGATGGAGGCAGGCGGTACTAACATGCAACCTGCTATCACACTGCATTTCTCTCAGCCCCGCTCCATTGACTCTTCTGTAGACACAACCCACTTTTCTCCTGAATCCAGGATTTACGTCAACATGTTCATGTACTGGTAGGCGATGCCTGCCCTGGTCCAGAGTTCATAGTAGGCAACATTCAGGGGCGAGTCAGTAGTTAACATTTGCAATTACATGCGTATGCTCTATACAGCAAGTCCACCATCACCAGAAGTGCAAATTCACAGTTTGGAAGATTTTGCAGCTTATTACAGTATGTTTATACAGTCCTTGCAACCTGATGCTGGTCAGCTACATATTAAATATTGACACAGGTACACAATGTACTGCATTCTGGGTGTACTAGTACACATACATGTACATGTACATGTATGTACATGTAGGAGTTCTTGTGTCTGAAGGAAGCATTGTAACATTAGGGCATGGCACACAGAGTACATACATACAGCAGCCAATGTGATGACATTACTTGTACTTGCTCTACTCATGAGGGGTCCTTCTGTCTTACATGTACACGTATGTGCAGTACCGGGCTACCCATGGGTGACGGGTACGTGTTCATCATGAAGCGCTGTGTAGTTTCTCCTCCTAGTGGTTTAATGATCCAAAACTTGAAAATAGCCCATTTCTTGAAACATCCAACTCATTTTCTGTCGGCAAGTTGACTTATCCTGCCCAAGGAGACATGCGTTATTGTCTGACCAATCAGCCGTCAGTTTTTGTCATGGTTGTTCCGATTTTGAAGAAATATTAACATGTATTAATTTTGTTAGTAAATGATTTAATTTGAAGTACCGGTACATTGTAGCTTTTGATATTGGGGAAGGGAAAACTGGAGCATGAATAAATGTGTTTTCAAGGGACCCTTATCCATGTCACTCAACAGATCTCAGAGTTTTTTCAATGAATCTGTTTGAACTCAGCATTGAACAAACTGCTTTTTTTTTACCAGGGGATTTTTTTCTTTCAAGGAGGAGATTTTTAAGAGTTGTTCTGTTGATGTAGTTGATAATCTATCGGACTGTATTTGAAACAACAGAGTGCGGACCTAAACTGGGATGCAGTACCTGTACATGTGTCCATTGACATCTGGTTAGAAATCGACACATCCATTCAGACACCTATGAAATGTACCAAATTTTGTTAAGGAATTAGTTTCAAATTGGCTGTACATATGGACCGGTACATCAGTCACTTTCTGTTCTTTTACCTATCCACTGTACATATACAGGTATACTGGTACATATACGGTACCCGGTATGTTCATATATGTTTATTCCATAGTAGGTTTATGTCAACCTGCCGCGTAGCAGGTTGACATTAACTAACCTGCAGAACATGTACAGTGTATATTATGGTTCAGTGCATTACGTTCCATATTGGGCTCATCAGCCACTGCCCCAATGGTTGCAGTCATGTTGACACTATGACACCACCACCAGACTACAACTAGGGCATATCATTGATGGTTGACATCAGCTGACGGTATACGATGCATCTCGTCACTCGAGGCTTAGTACATACATGTAGTGCATTCAGTGAATTGTTGACTGTATTGGGGAAAAAAATTATTTATTATAATTGATCAATTAGGAATTATAGCAAGAACAGAGTAGGCACTTGACTATCCAACAGTCTCATCTACGGAGCAAAGACCCATTAGCCATTGCAGGTACACAGCATAACTCAATTATGAACATTACCTAGCTCTAATAAACCTATTAAAATAATTGCATTGGTCCTGGTCATGTACATTGTACGCTACTGCTACCCAGTACATGTGGATTACATGTAACGGTTTGCCCTTCAAGGAAGTGTACATGGAGGCCCTACACAAAGTGTGATGCAAGAATTGGGAGCCAGGGACCTGTATGAGAACATTGTACTGACAAAGGGGTGTGCAGTGTTGGTTGTGCTTTGGAATAAAACACTGTCATCAAAACAACTGGGCATGTATGGGTGTACATGTACATGCATGTGGTGTGGTGTACAGGGGTGTACATGCATGTGGTGTGGTGTACAGGGGTGTACATGCATGTGGTGTACATTGAACATGTACATGTACCAGTACATTTGTATATGTAGGGTTCCATTTAGAGTTCCATCTGGTAGAGAGTCTTTAATTCAGCCTAAGCATTAGCTAATATTATGCATGCTTTTGAAGCCACATACTTGTGTTTTTGTGAAGAAGATATATATATTTTTTGTGTTATTTTTATAGAATTACAGGTTGTTTGTATAGCCAAAGTTGTAAATGCTTGTGACACTAGTGACTGACAGCTACTGTACATAGTGTAGGAAGAAAAAAGGGCATTTTTTCATTTACCCAGAAATTGTACGATACATTGCACACAGTCTTCAGTGCACATAACACATGTACATGTTTGTGTGTGCCAGTACATGTACATGTGTACATGTACATGTATACTTGTACATACATACCAGTGGTAGTTATTCCAAACTGTTAAAGAAGAAGCAGTGTTGAAATACAAACATGTACATGTTTTTCAAGCATACATGTACCTTTGATTGGTGTGAGGTAGGCTGTATGTATCTCATTACCTTCCTATCTTCTCTTCCCAATATTGGGATCAGGTCCTTACCATACTCCTTATAGTGCAGTGTGAACACGGCGAGTCATAGTGTTGGTTGTGACACTGTAGCATAATTCGTACTGATGAGGATAACAGACTACATAGTCAAGCATGACTTTGGGTTTATAATGTAGCGGTATACATGTACATGTATATGGCGGTGCAAAGCAGTGCATACTTTTATGATTTGGTGGCCTGGATGTAGTGACAGGTTGAATTAGTGTTCCCAAAATTTGTTGAAGCTGGAATTGTTACAGAGATAAAGAAGATACATAAGGTGTGTAGATCTATCATTTCTACATATAATGTACACATGCCGTACCTCAGACCTCAGGTACATTGCGCAGGTGCTTTGACTAAAATTGAATTTTCATCTTTTCAGGTCTGAGGTTGCTGCAGTTACTGGATGGAGTTGGATTATGAATAATTGTTATCGCACTTCTGACACCTGTGTTGGCCTTTATTGTATTATGTTCATGTATCATTTAACCACAATTTTGTCATCAGCCCTGAAGAAATACAAGTAACTCTTTCATTTTCATTCGGAGCTGGTAATTTGTTTTGAATGACAAAGTATTGTAAACCTGTCATAATCTTTGATTACTGTTTATCTTTGCAGATTATCTGCCCGAGTTTCTCCCAGGGTTAGGGGACCCATCTACAGATCAATGGACCAATATCAAGATCCATATGGTAAGTCTAATAGAAAGGATCCTCTATTGATTGTGTGCATGTACAGGAGAGGGCGCTGTTCCACTGGCAAACTGTGCCCACTACAGGTGTCAAGATTCTATTCCATCACAAGTCCATCACAACAAATCCTTTTGCAAATCAAGTCACAATTATGAACATGTGGCGAAAGCATTCCTTTGTCACTTTTAAGTTTTACTCAGGCTACCCGGTAGTTGAAACTGGACTTGTGACCAGACATGTGGGCTTGTGACTGGACACGAGGGCTTGTGAGTGTACATGTGGGCTTGTAACTGGACATGCGGACTTGTGACTGGGCATGTGGACTTGCGACAGTATGTGGATTTGTGACTGGACACGTGGACTTGTCAGTGTTCATGTGGACTTGTGACTGGACATGTGGACTTGTGAGAGTACATGTGGACTCGTGACTGGACATGTGGACTTGTGACTGGCCATGAGGACTTGTGACTGGACATGTGGACTTGTGACTGGACATGTGGACTTGAGACTGGTCATGAGGACTTGTGACTGGACATGTGGACTTGTGACTGGACCTGTGGACTTGTGAGAGTACACTGGACTCGTGACTGGACATGTGGACTTGTGACTGGCCATGAGGACTTGTGACTCGCCATGAGGACTTGTGACTGGACATGTGGACTTGTGACTGGACACGCCTTAGATTTGTTCATACCCGGTTGATGTGTGAGGCAAAGTAATCTGAATACTTTTTCTTTGATAAACTGTCAGAGTATTTAAGTTGGCGCCAGATGCATGTGGCAATGATTACACACGTCAGCCTTGTAGTCCTTTGTCACTCATGAGGGAATCATGCAAGGAATCATAATTTAACATTTCCTGGATTGTTTGAGAGCAAACCTCATGATGCTCGTTGTAAAGGTTGGTAATTTCAGGGCCAGTCTGTCAGAACCAGTTGCCACTGTCAGTAAGCGGCCCCTTGCATTGGATGCTCTTGAAAATGGAAGGTTTAAAAGCAGATCACAAAGTTCAAGACCTTTTAGTAAAATAGTTCACCTTGTTCATAATGCTGTAGGTGAGCACATAGTGTGTGTACTAGGCATGGTTGCCCAAACTGTGAGGGGTTTTAATCTAATTTTTCTGATCTAGACTGCCTCACAGGTGTAAGTCAATGTGAAGTGAACCGGTGTCCTGTGATATGAATTCTATTTGGCCTTCGATCAACCTCCTTCCCACAGTGTCAGGATATTGCACAAGTCCCAGAGGTCTTCTGTGTTTAGAAAAATAATACAATCATGCTGCATGTGTGGCTGTCATTACAAAGTAACCCCCCCCCTTGATGGATGCTGGAGAAAATAAGAGGAATGCCAACTTCCAGGAAGTGGGTTATTTATCACTGAATCACTTCATTACGTTGTATACTTTGCACTTACAATGTAGAGATGTTGTAATTTTGTATATCACTTTGTTGCATAGAGTATTACAATGTAACATCCTTGCAAAATGTATGGGCTGAGAGCTTTGGAATAGTGAGCCAAGCTACTGTACATACATGTATATTGTAACTGACAAAGTTACAGGCACGTTGTACATGCCCTCACTGAGATTGTGTCACACTCATGTCTTGTACTCCCCTCCCCAAGTCTTTGTACCTGTACCTCCCAGAATTCCTCACGTTTCCTTCCACACCTACCAACATTGGTCATGCTGCATTGTCTACTATCCACAGGTCCCCAACTGATCCAGCGATGTGTCATTGTACAGAAGGATGAGAGGGGCTATGGCTTAACTGTCAGTGGAGACAATCCAGTCTTCATACAGAGTGTCAAAGATGGTAAGAAATTACCATAACTTAATGGCTATGGCTTGGTTGTGATTAGGGGCTTGTTTGAACTGTTTTGTGAAATCAGAGCCTTGAGCTGAAGACTGTTTCATAAATGGCTAAACATTTGTTTATACCAAATATGTAGCAGGTCATTTGTAATTTTGAGTTGGGGATAGCGTCAAAGCTGAAGGGAGAGTTTCCAAATTTGTGAGACACTTCCAGTGTGCCACCAGAGTTTGTAGTCATAGGTACCAGTTAGAGATTATAACAGACTAAAGATGGTGGACACGGTGGTATATCAAGGAGCCTGACTATCTATTGAAATTAGCTTGCTGAGTATTAAGGGAAGGAATGCTACATTCTATTCAGAGTATCATTGATGCATATCACTGACTCAGTTCCTTTCTCATTTTGCCCTCTAGATGGCGCTGCATTCAGAGCAGGGGTCCAGAAAGGGGATAGGATAATCAAGGTAGGTTGGCTGCTGCATCCAGCAATTATAAGGCCACTTCGATTGGTCCAGGCCTAAGCCCATTGACATGTTTCTTTGAATATTCATCTGTCAAATCCAGCAGTATGTTTTAATAATGGAATGGCATTTAGGCCCATTTGGTGTGTTCAGATTTGAAGCAACGCTACATCTAATATACTGGTACATGTTGTAACGATGTTGAATGTGGGTGATTTTGGGTGGGATAGGGCTATAAGGAATTTGTGAAGCAACAAATTCCAGCAAGTGGTGCACTGATCCTGTTTAAATTGTGTTATTGAGCATGCACATTCGCTGAGGAGGGACTCATTTCATGGAACATACAAGCTATTTACAAACAGTCATGCTGTACACTGCTTGATGCAGCTCTCAGATGGAAGTTTCTTTGTTTTGGGTATTTGATCACAAAGCAGCTGACCCTGGAAGCATCGTCTGCAGATAAGAACTGCAAAGCATTAATTCTGTACAAAGGCTGCAAGATGAATGGGCACATTGCCTAGAAATTACTGAGATGAAATGTTTCCAAAGGTCCTAATGTGCTTAGTCCACCCCCCCCAAAAGAAAAAGCAAAAACGGTTGAAGAAAAAAAGAAACCAAAATGAAATGCTACCACGATAAAAGACCCCCTCCAAACAGAAAGAGATGCAGTGACTCACTTAATGAAACTACATGTCATTAGGTGATATTGCTTTGCAAATTTAATGTACATGTACATGTGCCTCCTATTCTGTGCTGAGAAGCTCTGTTGAATTAGCCTTTGGTGAGACAGGTCTGTCTAGATTATTAATGCCAGCTTTGCATTTTGACTATTTAATTTTGTCAAAAGGTTTCTCCATACAGAATTCAGAAACAAATCATATTCCTTGCAAACTGTACGGCATTGTTCAATTTCTGAAATGTGTCTTTGTGCCATAGGTAGGACATGACATCGTTGCTGGGGTTATTTAATGCCCTGCGTATAGGGTAATTCACCTCCCAGTCAGTAAGCTTGAAAGCAGGTAGCCTCAGAGATGAGAGCCTGCCTCTAATCTGTCAACCATTTGATAGCATTGCCATGACTGCATGAGAGTGCTTGCTCTAGGGGCCAGGCTTACTGAGCTGAGGCAGGGAGGCTTAAAGGTAACCAGATCAGACAAGTGATGGCTGATGGCTGGTTGAATAGCAGAGAATACATGTAGCAATGACAAATATTGCAGAGTAGAAAAACTCTGTCAAAGTAGACAACACAGCTTGGGTTGGTCTGTAGTTAGGGGAAAGAGGGTGCTAGACAACGCCACTGCAATTGAGTGGTTGATGTCAGAATCATACAGCTACTTTATCAGTTCCCGTAAATTACAGTAACAGTTCTGTGTGCTTGCAACTTGACTACACATGGTTCACGGACTTTAAACAAATAAAATGAAGACTTTCCGATGTCAGTCAACAAGAATGTGCTTGTATTATGAAATTCCTGCATATGCCAGTATTTCCCATGTAAAACTTTACCTGCCTTTTCAGTCTTTATTGTTTGAATCAGTTCTTTTGAATCACTGGTCATGAATGTACATTTACATGTACACATGTATGTACATATGTTCATGAAACAAGTGTACTGTGAACTTTTTCAGTACACGTGTGCACATGTGTTCGTCCGAATCTCTTGTCTAGAGCTACATCTAGGTTTTCACCCCATTGGAATGCGTGGAGATGCACAAACAGACCCAGCCGTAGCTCTGGAAGTCAGTTTCGGACACAGCCTAAGTATTCCTCCTTGAGTAATACATCTGCAAGCTTTGGAATAAATTGGCTGTGAAAAAGATACATTTGGACTTGTATTGTGTAAGGATATATAGGAGTATTGTGTAAGACCAACACAATGTGGAAGTTCCTTTGGACAAACTCTGCATCTTGCCGGCATTTTTTTTTGCTAAAGTTGACAAAATCCTGCCGGCCCAGCCTTGCCTGTGTGCAACACTTTTCAATTACTAAACTCAGACCGCTGCAAAGTGAGAATGGCTGTGAAGAATCCATATCAGTGTGGGTCCAGATTGCTGGAAGGCTGTGAAGTATCTAAGACTTGATGAGAGAGATGTGGTGTTAGAAGCTGCCAGGCAGTCATGGTGTCAGAGATAAGACTGAGTGAACGGACAACTGATGGACATGGGGGATGTGATTTGAGAGTCTCGTGAGACATCAGATTATTACAGTTGGGTTTTCAGGGTAAACCAGTTTGGAGTGTGTAACTACAAGTCAATTGAAATTTAGGCTACTTTATGGGACTGTGATGGCCTCAGTGTACATGTAAGTGTGTGCTTATTTAGAATTGGTTCGTTTGGCTCTTTTGCTCTGTACTGTTTATTTTTGTAATTTGTTTCTAAATCAATCAAACTTGAGTCTATTTTTTCAGTGAGAGAAATTTCCAAGTTGATTACAAGTACTGTAGTCAGCTTGAAAGTGAATTAAGTTTCAATTAATCAACGCATGCATGGAAGAGATACATGTACATGTACATGTAAAATGCAAAATATGTCCTGCACTTCAGTGGACTCAATTTTCTGCAACCAACTTCTAACGGACTGTGCAAACATGTTGAGAGGAGTGCACCTGTGTGCGGATGGTAATAGTTTTGCACCAGACATGCCAGAGTGTTTACATGTACATGTATATACCCCAGTACATGTACATATACATGCATGTCACAGTGCAAAGTGTACATGTGCATACTGCACTGTGGTATGTGGGTAATTCCAGAAATTAGGGGTCCATTGTTTTTTGTGTCCCTGTCACATCTGACATAAAATTTTCTAAGTTCAGAACACATTTTCTAATTGCCAAGAGTGATGAATTAATGGAAATCACCAGCCAAACAAATAGTAATGTGTGAAATCAATTCCAATGATATTTCCATGTCAAATAGCGAAGATCAGATGTAATAGGGACACGAAACTGTCACACTATTGGACCCTTAATTTCTGGAATTACCCATGTTTCGGTGCATACGTACATGTACATCTTGAGCATAGGTTTTAGAAGGTACCTGTAGATGGAGGAGGATCCCTTTCTAGTAGTTGGTGGAATCAGTTTGTCAGTGTTTTGCTGGTGGTTGATTGAGGGGAACCTACTTCTTGCAGCCAAGATGTATTAAGACAGAATGGTTTATGCAGTCACCGGAGCTTATCCATAATTACAAGCACAGGAATGTGTACTCAAGCAGTGAGATGTCTGCACATTGATCTCAATTCAATCTGGGTTGAAACCAAGCATTCTTGGGACATGTGTAATTGTTGATGGTTTAGCATCAAGAAGGATAGACACGCTGCACTGAGGGATCTTTGACACAGGTTGCACTTCATTTTGCATATTTGATCCAGATGGAGATTTGGAATCCCACATCCGAATCCCATTCCAGGGCCAATCTCTATTACATGCAGGAGCTGTGTATTTCACTGATTTCCTTCATGGGTAAATGTTTGTGATACTATCGCAATATACCATAAATGTACATACAGTAGGAAATCATTACTCTAACATGAGCATTGAGCTGTGTACAGGGTGTATGCAAGAGATCTTACACACGTGTACTTTCCCAGATGGACCTTGTTCCAAGTATTCTGGATATTGGCCCTACTCTATTATACCAGCTAGATGTGTACTAGCAATTCCACTATTTGTAGCCAGCTTCTCAATCACTCAGAACCCTCAGCTCTCTTGCCTCAGTACATTGATTGGTCACACCATCGAACAGGGGAACAATTCCTAACCAATTAGTCAAACTTGGCAAATCTCTCTGGGGAAATTTAGGGGAAATCAGCTCTGAAAGAGAACGCTCTTGACGGAGGGCAGTTTTTCTATGCTACCAAAGTCATTGATTTGGAAGTGTAATGCCAACTTGAGTTGAGGGAGCCACTGTACACTGTAGATGACTCAGTTCACACATGATCAGGTTACCAGCTAAGCTTCCATGTGATGACAACTGCTTTTGATTGGTTACCAGCTGATTTAGTCTTACAGTTTATGCTTTGTTATGTACTTTGATTGGATTCACTATATCTGGGAAAATGTTAAGAAGATGATGTTCTTTTCATCATAAATGTAGCAATAGCTTTAGAGTAATTGATTGCCCAATTATTGCCGTTGATTGTAGACGTCTGTTTTCCTTTTTTAGACATCTTCACCAGATGTGTACCATCCAGTTTGTTTGTACTTCTGTGTTATTATTTCTTGCTCTTGACAATGAAGCCTTCTCCAAGGGCTTTACGTGCACGTGTGCATTCAATTATCCACTACATCTACAGTAGTTGAAATGTGAGGATAGAAAAAAAAGGAGTCTAAAAATAACCAGCTGATCAGGGGCAACTTGGTATTTGGCAGCCGCTAATGGACCAATGAGAACCGTGGGGAGAGGCTCGTAAAATGGGCTGCAGGTTGGGTTGCAAAACCAGCCAGATATGGGAATAGGAAGAGTATTCCATTCAGATCTGGAAACGGAAGAAGAAAAGTAGTTAATTAACCTTCACAGCCGGTGTTGGCGTCACAAACCTCTGCTGAGCCCCGATGTGTTGATGTTGCTATGTTTTCATGGTTTGTGACTTCCTGTCCCTACAATGTACATGTACCTTGAATAGTCTAAAGTACACCTTCATAACAGTGTTTGTTCCTGGAGGTTCTTTCGTGCCTCTGTTACTAAACTCTTTCATGTGTTTTTTTGAAATTTGAACATTGGGTTCAATACAGGAAGGAAAAATAGCCAACAGATATCTTGGCTGTAACACATAGAACAGGCAACACTTCCTGTTGACATGAATAAAAAAATGTTGAATCAGATGGTCACACAAGAACAGTGTACCGGTACATGTACCACACTGAACATGTACCATAATCAGGCATGTTTTTATATTGTTGCTACATGTACATGTACCATAATCATGCATGTTTTTATATTGTTGCTACATGTACATGTACCATAATCATGCATGTTTTTATATTGTTGCTACATGTACATG